TTGTTTCCACAACCCATTTCTCCACACGGTGTCGTATGCCTTTTTCACGTCCAGGAAGAAGCAGTACGTCGGCTTTCCCGCCCTCTTTCGACCTTGGATGATTCTCCCTACCGTGAATGCGTGGTGTACGCACCCCCTCTTCTTGCGGAAACCTGCCTGGCCCTCACTAATGCTATGTTCCTTCTCCAATACTCCCACTATCCTATCGTTCAGCAGCTTACAGAACACTTTTCCTACTGTGTTCAACAGTGTGATCCCCCTGTAGTTTCCTGGGTCAGTCTTGTCTCCTTTCTTGAACAAGTTCACAACCACTCCTTCCCTCCATCTACTTGGCGTATACTCGTTTTTCCACACCCAATTGTATAGCAGTACCATCAGCTGGATCATCCCCTTCCCCCCAAACTTCATGAACTCGTTGACTATCCCATCCGCTCCTGCTGCTTTGTGGCACTTCAGCTTGTTCACACACGCCTCAACCTCGTCCTCAGTGAACTCCTTTTCTAGTTCTACGTTCCCAACGTCTGCCTTCGATGTCTCTTCTTCTTTTCTGGGCCCATGCACCACCTCCTTCTTAAACGCTTGGTCAAAAGCTTCATTCTCCGAGGGCACTCCAAGTCTCTTGTAGTGTCCTGCTAGAACTTCCCTTTTTCCCTTCCCACTGCTGACTAATCCACCGTTCACACCTCGCAAAGTTGCGACCCCTGTATCCCCCCCTTGCGCGGTCTTTTTTACCATTCCACTAATCCCTTCCCACATCTGCTTGACGTTTCCCTCCAGGCCTCCGTTGGCCTTCTGCACTACTTCGTCCCAAATACACTTTTTCTTCTTTTTCACTAGTCCCTTCACCTGTTTTCTCTTGGCCCTGTACTTTTCCCAACTCTCCTCAGACGCCTCACTCAGGTACTGCTTGAAGACTTCTCTACGTTCCCCTATTTGTTGTTTCAGCTCGTCATCCCACCGCTTAACCCATACCCCACATTGTACCACCTTGTCCCACTACTCTCTCTGCCGTTGCGTTCACGATGGACTCCCACCCTTCAATCACCCCGTCCCCTGCTGGTTGTACGTATACCTGTCCGTCTTGGACGCTTCTCAGCAGTTTCCTGAAGGGTTCTCGACTACCAGCCAGTCCCTTCCGGAATTCATCCCGTGTCCCCTCGTCTCCCAACTCTCTACTTTCCACCGGAACACTTCCTCTGTTTCTTACTTTCCATCTTTCTAGATCGGTCGATGTACTGCATTCTCGAATTGTCCCCTCACTATAGCTATTGTGGATTTTCCGTATACAGCTATCCTCACTCAACGCGTCTATGTGTCCGGCAATCTCCAATGCAAATCAACCTATGAGGTTTCAGTATGCACCTTTTCTTCACTCAATGCATCTATGTGTCAGACAGTCGCAAACGTCACTCAACCCGTTAGGTCTCAATATGCAGCTATCCTCACTCAACGCGTCTATGTGTCCGGCAATCTCCAATGCAAATCAACCTATGAGGTTTCAGTATGCACCTTTTCTTCACTCAATGCATCTATGTGTCAGACAGTCGCAAACGTCACTCAACCCGTTAGGTCTCAATATGCAGCTATCCTCACTCAACGCGTCTATGTGTCCGGCAATCTCCAATACAAATCAACCTGTGAGGTTTCAGTGTGTGTCTTTCCTCACTCAGCGCGTCTATGTGTCTGGCACCATCCAACATTACTCAAACCGTGGGGTCTCAGTGTGTAGCTATCCCGACTCAACCCGTCCATGTGTCTGGCAAACTCAAAAACCAATGCATCTGTGAGGTTTCAGTATGCAGCTATCCTCACTCAAAACGTCTATGTGTCCGGCAATCTCCATCACAAATCACCTGTGAGGTTCAGTATGTGTCTATCCTCACTCAAAGCGTCTATGTGTCCGGCACTCCATCATCACTCAACCCGTGGGGTTTCAGTATGCAGCTATCCCCACTCAACCCGTCCATGTGTGTGGCAATCTCAAACCTCACTCAACCCTTGAAGTTTCAGTATACAGCTATAATCACTCGACACGTCTATGTGTCCGGCAATTTCCTACATCACTCAACCTGTGAGGTTTCCGTAAACAGCTATCCTCACTCCACTCGTCCATGCGTCACGCGTCTTTGGTAGCGCATACTATGGGGGCTATATTTGGGGTGGCGTGTTTTACAGCGCTTTGCCAACAGCGCCAACCCACTTAAGTCTAGAGGGGGGGGGAGGGCGCCAGAGATGGGAAGAAAAAAAAGAAGCATATATATACGCACCGGAGAAACCCATCTCAGCGAGTCAATCGTCGATTCTACCTGGCGCCCCCCTGCCTCAGACATACTTCTCCGCCGCTTGTTGTACACCGTCGAAAAATCCAGGCACTCGGGCAGGCCAAATTGGCGAGTGGTCGGATCAGTGGAAGGTTTTGGTCTACGACAAGCCATGCCGGAACATCATCTCCACGTTGCTACATGTCACGCAGCTCCGGAAGCAAGGAGTCACCCTGCATATGCTGGTGCGCCGCCCCGTTGCTTAGTCGGGGCATATCAGTCCTGCATGCTTAAACCGGGGGAGCCTGCAACACTCAAAGGTTCTAGCCGTAATTTTTTATTGCAAGTGTACGTGTACGTATGCTACACGCGAGCGGATAGACCAACCTGCAGCCGGCTTGTATTTCTATCGGTGTCGAGGAGTACCTCGCTCTTGGTCACCCGTGACCGCTTGTGTTTGCCGATTTGTTCCCATGCCACAGCTGGAGACGGAACGAGAAGCCATCCCCGACGTGCCGGCGATATATTTCTGCCGCCCAACGGAAGAGAACATGCGACGAATCGCGGCCGACGCTGGCAAAAGGCTCTACAGGTTTTGTAACTCTTCTTTCAGGCGGCTCTTTCAATTTTCGTGTAAACACACAGCAGGGCGAATCGACGCACAATGCTTGCAGGAGCGCTGCCGTTCGACTGGCGTAACACCCAGGAGAGCTATAGCATAATCTCTCGGCGCCGTATGCATAGTTTGCCGCACTTCATGCTATACGCCCGTCCTCACTGGACAACATGTCCCGTAACCATGCCTCGCAATCGACACCCTCGCGCACAGCAACCTGTTCATCAATCTGTCGAGCAAGCTCGAGCGGCCGCTGATGGAGCTCCTGGCGCGAGAAACCTTGGCGGAAGGCAGCGTAGACATGATCTCCAAGATTTTTGACCAGAACCTTGAGTTCGTCTCCTTAGAGCACCGCCTTTTCAGCCTCGACCGACCGGGATCGTACGTGCAGTACAACGACCCGACCTGCCCAGACGCTCAGGTATAGACCTGCAATCTTGGTGAGGGAAAGGAGAGCGGGGGCTGCGGCTTTTGTGAATGCTCTAAGACCTGCGCGCACGTCGTATTTTATCTGCCCGGGTGCTTGGTTGAATGCTTGCGCCGCCCTTTGCAGAAGCAACGAAAGTTGGCGAAGGCAATTGTGCTTCTATACATTGCAATAAAACAGATGCGGAGACGTGCTAGGAGGTTGAACCTGGACTTACCCCGGTTTCCGGGTCCTTGATGTGTGCATACGTTCCGAGAAGCCTTCTCGTTCGTGCCCAATCATGATGCTGCGGAAAGCGTTTGGCCAATCATTTTTCGTACCCCACTGCGCCTGACCTTTGTCGTCGGAACGCACGAATGACAGATCGAAAACTACATGAAGAGCATGGCGAGTGCCCTTTTCGGGGTCTTGGCCACCGCGGGAGGGGTGCCGATAATCCGCGCGCTTCCCGGAGGGCCGACGCAAATGCTTTCGGAACAATTGAGCAAGGTACATCCCGCTTCTGCAGCATGCTCATGGGCCACTCCTTTCTGGACCGTGGTTGGACTCGTTCCGGCTCCTCCCGCAAGGCGGCGACGAGGCTAAGGAGTAGTGTATTAGTTGGTGTGCCGTGCTCCTGTCGGGCAGTGTCTCCTTGACCTGTTGGCCTATTGTCCGAAGGTCCTGCTTCAGGTGTGCCAAGAAAATGTTCTGGCTCGCTCTCCGTAGACGCGTAAACACGTACACACCCATCTCGCCCGTTGTCCTGGCCTCATCCAAAGATCATCAGCGACCACCTGATGAGCGGGGGGACAGCGTTCAACACGGCAGGAGCGGCAGGGTTCCAGAGACCGCTCGTGGTCGTCATGCACCGGGGCATGGATCTTGTTTCTGCTCTCAGACACAACAGGTACTTGGATAGCTCCTGCGTGTTCGTTTTGATTTGGGCGCATGATTGGACTCTTGTAGGTGATTCGGATTGGTGCAAGCACGTAGTTGGCTGCGTGGTGTTTGTCGTGCTGGCTGGTGATGCACTTCTGAGAGCCACTATAGTGTACAGTTTCGTGTGCTCCAAGATTCCTGTGACCGCCGCAGAACGTTGTTTGAGCATCTGTTGCCCTTTGCCAAACCATGGTTACCCACGCGGTGTTCTACTGGTTATCGGTTCATCCGGCGAGCGCAGCACATACCAAGCCCTGGTGGACGATGTTCTGGACCATCGGTTGAACCGGGTGACGGTGCAGATGGAGGGGAAGAACGGGCAAGGGAAACGGCCCAAGACGTACGACGTTGACGCCGAAAATGTGAGTGGCAAAATCTTGTTTGGGGGTATGTAACACCTAGATTGATTGATGTAGCGCGTAGCGGCAACGACACCAAATGCTCGCGTTTGCGGTCTTAGGTGGGTAACTGTCATGGCTCCTACCAGCTTTACCCGGGCCGTATTCAAGAGCTATTGAACACTCCACCATTGTTGATGTCACAGAACCGCAACTTGACCCCTCACCACCCCAGGAGAGCAGGAGCGGAAACGAGCTGCGACCCCGCATTCCTCCGCACTCCACGAGAAGCTTTCACCAAGCGTTTCCACGAATGTACCGTCTGCTTTGGGTAGTATGTAGACGTGCATATGTCAGCGCGTTCTGGCAGTTATTTGTCAAAACTTGTTTTTCGTGGTCCCTTGCTGTGTCCCTCCCGGATTGCCCCATTCCCACCCGACGTGCCTAGGACTCCTTCTACCGCCGCTTCAAGGGCTCGCCCTTTCCTGAAGCTATCGAAGCCAATGGATCGGAGCTGGCGGCCGTGACTCAGAAGGCAAGACTGGCGAATTTTGTGTATGTTTTTCGTTGGACGGGGAGGTGCTGGAGCCAAAACGGGAGGGCCTTGCACAGCTGTCCCATACATCATTTAGATGCGCCACTATTGTGCTCTGGTCTGTGCATGGTTAGCCCACCTTGTCTATCTACACCAAAGGGGAGCGGGGACGGTGGTCAACCTTACTTCGTTTCATCATGTTAGGAGGACGACATCAGGAGGAGGACCTCCGCAGCGGGAATCAACGCCGACGCGGCATCGTCTGGCTTGGGGGTAAGCACTCCCATCGGCGGTGCGGCCGGAGGAGGAGGGGACGAAGCAACGCAGGAGCTTGCAGCGGCGGTGGAGTCGCTGCCGAAGCTTTTGGAGCAGAAGAAGGGGCTAGAAATGCACACCAACATTTTGAAGGTGAGGTATTCGGTTGCGACTTGGTACACCCGGTGACGTTAACGTACGAAGATGACTGCAGCTGCTGCATGTTGAGGAAGAGTACGATGACGGCACAAGTTGAGTTTTCCGATCCTGCTGGGTTGTGAGCGCGATGTCTACTTGAAAGGTACGTACAGGCTTCATTGATCGGCGGACAAAGGTATCGGATGGACAACGGGAAGCCTAGTTGCAAGCGGAGTGTGTGTGTGCCAGGGCCCTGATTGTGCACGGGTGTTGGTTGAACGGAGGTATTGCGTCGGAGGGAGGGAAGCTCAATCCTGGTCGTTTGATCTCTCATGACGCTGAGGCTGAACTGCAGATTTCCGCATGCGATGGCATGAAAACCCCACACGCGGCTAGACAAGTCGCCGAGCTGGCCTTGAACGAGACACACGGCTCGCAAGCTTTTATGAAACGTTAGCTATACACTTACCGTCCGGCACTTGTGCATGTCGCGACGACACACAGGCCATCATGGATGATGTGGCGGCGCGCGAAGTGCCAGTGTACTTCGAGGTTGAGGAGGAGATTATATCTGCCCCGTCCAAGGTATGGTTTTGGTACTGGAGCGCACTCCACACCGCATGTTTTATTGAACAGGCGCCATCGATGGGCTGGCTGCGAAGCATATTTGTTGAGCAAGGTGGAGCGAATCTTTTGCATCTTTGCAGTAAACCGCTTCTATAGATGGGATCCCTGCAGGCCGGTAGTGTAGCACTCACGTCCACAACATCTTCACGAAGGGGGGGGGGGGTTGCCTTGGATCCGATGTGCGTGTGTTGCTCGACAGGCGTTTCGCAAGTAGCGTGCCAATGTGTTGCAGCGGCACCAACCACTTCGGCTGAGCCATATCGGATTCCTCCCACGACATACATGCCTCCATTTTTCTCGTCTCCTCCTTCTTGGTGACCAGCGGACGAAGAGCAGGGTGCAAGAGCTTCTTGTCAGCGGCAAGGGCTCCATCCGCGACAAGCTCCGCTTGCTGGGAGTGTACTGCTTGGCGGTCAGACCGTCCACAGCGGAAGTCACAGAGCTGGAGGGTCTCTTGAAGCAGTCCGCTGCTAGCTCTGGGGTTAACGGGGCGGAGGAGGAAGCGCAAAGGGGGCTGGGGGCGATCGGGTTCCTGCGGCAGCAGGTGTGTGTGTGTGGGGGGGTGGGTCACGTTATTGTAGCCGTAGTGTAGTTTCCGTTGGCGTTATATTTCTGAATATTCACGGACGACGTCCGCAGTGTCCATGGAACGAGTCATACTACAGGAGAGTACTTAATTTTTTCTTTTGGGCAATGAGATTCGTTGAGCGCTGTGCCTCATTGTCGGCGACTTGTTTTCGCCCTCTCTCTTGCGCATTCTTGCAGATTTCCTTGCAGCACTTGCCGACAATGCAAGCTGGAGGGGGGTCAGCCGAGGCTCCTCTGTCTGGTCCAAACAAGATGCTCTCTGGACTGTTTGCGAAAGCACAAACGCAAGCAACTGGATTGTTGGCAAAGGTGGGCCATCATGTGGTATTCCTTATGATATAGATACCCTCGTATTGAACGGTCCCCTTTCTTTTAACGGTCGATGCTCGACGCTCTAAATACTTGTTTTCCCACGTGTATGAATTGCAAGGTATCCTGTTGGCCTCGAGATGTCACCACTTGAATGTGTGAAGGCGAATAAGGTGCCATGAAATATTGCATTAGTTAAGACACGGATCTTCAAGTGCACTGCGACCTCGGTAAAATCGTGTCGCCAATTGTGCCGCATACTCTGCCCCCACCGGTACGTTGCTGACGTCGTGATACGGGTTGACTGACGCGACACAAGTACTCCTTTTTCTTTTTCTTTCGCGACTGCTCGATCTTGCTGCCGCGGAATCGGCATATCCACAGGCTGCCGCCACTGCTGGGCAGCTTCTCTCTCGAGCCAACAACGCGCACGTCACAAGGGTGGTCGAGAGGTGAGTCCCGACGGTGCAGCCAACGTCATGTTCTGTCTCGTCCTTCTTGCTCAGAACGGGGTAGAGATGGCCAAAGGTTTGGCCCATGTGTGGAATGTTCGTTTAAGAATTTCTTGCACCGATCAGAACAGAACCGGCGGACGCTAGCACGGGTTACTGCCGCATTAGACATGCATCGATGCTTTTCCCTGCCGTCAAACATGACGTTCGGTTGTTGGAGCGCTGGGGAGAAGGTCCGTCACAATCCTGGTTCCCCCAATTCTCGACCCCCCCTGGTGCCATTATCGTCGGCTTCTCGGCAAGTATGCATGCTGTACTTCAAAGCAAACGTGCCGTAGCACAGTCAGACCAACCACACCGCACCCGCCTTCGCCGTGTTAATGGAACAAAGCCTTCTGGACTACGGCGAGGAAGACGAAGCGTACCTGTACCTAGACCCGAAGCTCCGAGAGCGAGCTGATCCGGCGGCGGCCAGGTCCAGGGGTCCACCCCGAGAGGTCATCGTGTTCATGATCGGAGGGGGGTGTTACTCGGAGTACCAGAACTTGCAGGTGTGCCGAGCGGAGCCAGCTACGAAGCGCTGTGCATGTGATTGTAGAGATAAATGGCAACAGCTACCTCTCGCTCGAGTGTTGGGGGAAGATGCCGTCGACGCGCGTTTTCTAGCTAGGAAGGCTGCAATCCAGAGGTCGAGATACTTTGTGTCGCTTTCTCGTCGAAGAGCTTGCTTTGTTTTCGGGCTACGTCAATAGCGAGATGCGAGATATATTGCAGTAGGACCCCGGCAGCTTGTTGGGGGATGTGTGTGCTTCAGGGTCTACAAGTGTGACTCACAAGCGCAAACGCAGAATGACATGCTTGTGGCTCGGGAAATCGCCATCAACAATGTCTCGCGCTCACGAAACCCCGCTCTCCCCCGGCCGACACTGGATGCGTATGCCTTTTTGTGAAACAGGACTTCGCCCAGAGAAGATCGCAGAGTGCCCCTTTGAGCATCACATACGGGAGCACGGAGCTGGTGAACGCTGAAGGATTCTTCGAACAGCTCATGGAGCTTGGGGCGAAACAAGCGTGACAGCTGCTGGCACTAACCAGCCCATCGCTTGTGCAGGCAAAATCCATCCACAGCAGCATCATGGCTCCGCGGATGTGAACGATTTGTGGTCCGGATAGTGCACATCTGGCCAAAGGGACCAAGGTGCTCCGTGTCTTTTATGCGTCTCGTTTTTGTTGCACGAGGGGCCACATCAGCGCCAAGGGTCAACAAGGATATGCCCGTGTGAACCAACTGCCGGCCTGCACCTAGACCAGACACGGGCGAGTGCAGTTGTTGTTGTTGTTGCTGTTGTTGTTGTTGTTGTCTTTACATTAAAACCGTCCTGCGGCGGGGAAACCGGGTGCATTTGGGGGTTTGGTAGCCTTGGTGTATCTTCGAACGACCAGGTCGTCGATATTTTGCCCAATCTCGACAATCATTGTCTCGTACCTAGAAGTTGGTGAGTAGCTGCTGACCCTTGGTTGCGTAAAAAAAGGAACAAATGGTTCTACAATTTTTGTATTGGGGCTCAGAGAAGGCAAGAACACAAGGTAGGCGTACGCTGCAAGTGACGGCACTGAAATGGGACGGCAAAAACTAGTTCGGCGAAATTTCGCACGCTTCGGAGTGTGCCATCGCCGGAAACCCCGGGCAAGACAACAAGGAAATGTGCTGTTGTGTGTCTATCTGAAGCCCACACTATGCAGCATCAACCTGCACGTCGTGAGCAACCAATCGCTCAAAGTTACGATTCATCACCACGGGTGGCTGAATCTGTTGAAGCCTCATATAGGGATTACTGAAGCCAGCTCCCACGCGTACACAAAACTCCCGATGAGGGCTCCGAGGTTCGCAAAGCTTGACATGCCATGGAATTTCCCGAACGTCTTTCCGAGCTCCTTGTACTCGTCGGAGTCTTTCTTCTTGTCGTCCTCCAGTTTGTATCTGCATCAGAGCACATCAGATTGGGAGCCATTATCTAGGGTTGTTTTGAGAACACGCTTGCTTTGACGAGGCTCTCACCAAACAACTTGCGGATGTGTGGTTGGATGGCACAAAAAAAACGAGCCACCTGGGATTGGGCACGGGACTCTCATGGAGATCACTACCCGTGTTGCAGCATTTCGTCGCGTTCAATATTCGAGTACCTGGGGTATCGTTTTTTGTTTTTCTTCCCCGAAGAAATTCGGTAACTCGGCTGTTACACCGGGAATCCTTGATCAAGCGAGAGACTGTTTCATCTATCGTCTGCAGCATGCCAAAATGGCAGAGCTGTCGATGCGTACGCCAAGAAGCGGCAACACGAACTCGAAATTCCGGCACCAGTGTGCCGAGCTTGATGCTGGTCCCGCGAAATCTTCTGTTGCTACGCATGACCGCCGTTGGAAGAGCTGCCGTTGTTATGTTGTCAGCGCTCTTGTCGATTGTTCGTGGGTGAAGAAGAGTACAGGACCATGACTTGAGACCTTAGCTTTCGTGCTCTCGACCGCTGCCTCCGTTAGGAGCGCAACAATGGCGAAGCGTCATTGACGCAGCCGAATGAAAAAACGGGAATGTTGGGCAAAACTACTGCTGCTCCCGCTCAAGACAACAAGCCTTCGATTTCGGAGACAGCGGATTTTCAATTTTCCGTAGGCTACAGCGCTCGCGGGTGCGGACACCGAACCTCGCGATACTTCCTGCTGGGAAAGAAGCTCACCTTTGCAGCATGATGCTTGTGGACTTGGGCTCAAGAAGTACCAGATTCAGCAAGGTTGTAAGCAGCGAGACGAGCAAGGTGACGCCTACTCGGGTCCTGTTGGGGTTCCGTGTTAAAAAAAATACCGCGGTGGAGTGTTCGACATCACGTAGGCTTTTCAGCATGTTGTAACAACCAACGTAGTGGAGACACAAATGTAACAGCAGTTTCCAGACGTGTACGGTGTCTTCAAGTTTCTTGTCAAGGGCATTTGTCCCTCCCCCCACCCCCTCTTTGACCTCCCAGGAGGAAAGTAGCCTGTACCGCGGGACTTCGGAGATGATAAATTGGATGGTCGGGGGACGTCTGGGTGTTAACTAAGCAGAGCGCCCGGCACAAGACTGGGGTACTTGTGTCAGGAGGTGTGAACTTGGATCTAGACTACGAGCCTATGTTGGAGGCGCTATTTAGCGTCGGTGAGCCGGCAAAAGAACTGAAAGGAACCACAACCCCCGCCGGACACTCGGATTGGGAAGGCCGAGTATT